TTAGGCAAGGCGATGAAGAAGTAAACAAAATAATAAAATAAAAAATATATATTTAACGGAATTGCCCAATATTTCGGTTTGAAAACAAACCTTCTTCATGGGCTGAAAGAAAAATTAAAATAAAACAAAAAGTTCGTTACAAATAACAATTGAAAATATGACAATGGAAACAATGGATTGTTAGTCGTATAGGAGACTAGGTGGTATCATATATCAGTGAGCTTCGTCACGTCTATTTATTCCTAGAGCAGATAATGTGTTTCCCAAGGGGGGTACTCCTGGGAATTCTTGGTGGGGGTGTGCCACCCGGTTCCCCAAATCCTGATCCGATTTCAGACCAAAAAAAAAAAATGTAATTTTCCACACCCGTTTTCAGACTGGACCTCTAAAATCCACACCCGTTTTCAGACCTGGCCTTTAGGCAGAAATTATGTTATCATTACTTAGCCGTTATTCAAATCCATTTCAAATTCGCATATTTCTCTTTCTTGCTTACTCATTTGGAATTGAAACGATAAATACGTTCATACACTCTGTAGTTCCGTCGAAAACCATACCCGACAAGAATGGGCAAAGTGTATACCCGTTTTCAGACCAAAAACGGCGCAACATGAAAACCCTACCCGATGAGACGGCACATACCTGTGGCTTTTATAAGGGAGTACCCCCCGGGGTGTTCCCTTTGTGTATTAAATGAGCTTCTCGAGCCTTTCCCACTGCGTCACGGTTCCTGCGTATGGGTTAGAATGACGTCGTTGATTGAATGTCCAGCTTGATTAAAATGTAAGGAGACAGAAGTGGGATCGCTGAGTTGTTGGTTGTTCAACGTGGATATATTATACTACCTAGTCTCCTATACCAATAACAATCTATTGTTTTTACTGTCACATTTTCAAATTCTTATTAATGTAACTGGAACTTTTAGCCCCTGAAGAAGGTTTGTTTTCAAACCGAAATATTGGACAATTCTTTAAATATATATTTGTTGTTTTATCCTTTTGTTTACTTCATCATCGCCTTGCCGTAAGGATCAGTTTGCCGTTTCATATTTTTCTACAAGTTTAATTGTACTGATCCAGGTCTACAACTGGGAGATCCGGCACCACTCATTGGTTTGTTGCTGTGGACTTGCTGATATTTTATATAATTATTTTGAAATCTATGGAGAGAGCCATTCTAAAGCTATTTTTCTCATTTTCTAAATTTGATTCATTTTTATCTTTAAATTACTGTCTTTTAGATTGACACACCGCGATGTTTCCTTGGCGCAAACAAACAGAAGTTGACGTTAGGATTCTTTTTCTACTTTCTATTATTTTAACATGCGCGAATTGTGGTAAGTAAGCTGTTATAATAAAAAATTTACAAAAATGGCCGTTTTTTATACGAAGGACGCATTATCCGTCTCAACGAACTGGAGCAAACATTTCGAAGCTCGTCTGGTTACGCGTCTCAATTATGAAGACAGGCACAAGACGCATTATGCGTCCAGAACGAACTACATGGTCTGTCTTTCACGACGTATTACGAAGGCTTTTTTGTCCGACGCATAATGCGTCTTGTGCCCGTCTTTATACTTGAGACTCATAACCAGACGAACTACAAATGTTTGCGCAAGTTCGTCCAGGCGGATAATACGACTGTAGTATAAAAACGACCATAGACGTGTTATCCGTCTGGACCAGGCCCCCGCCCACTTGTACGTCCGAGGGTTAAAGCTTTACTGAAATACAAATTCTCGACAGAGCCTTCAAGCGTTAGAGAATCTGTGAGCCTTTAGCCGCACACAAGTTTGGCATGTTCAGTTAATTTTTTTAAATTAGATTAGTATTGTGATATCCTTTGTATAAAGTGGATCTTTTCTTGTACCTTTCATTAATTTTAGTTCTGTAGTGTCTTGTGTATTGTATTTTCATAAGGCTTAAATAAAATTTTTAAAAAATCTTACCTTTCCGTCTAACACAAGATTGTACAAGCTGCATGTTGCTCCAATGACTGTCTGTCCTTGCATTTGTAGTTTTCAGTTGCACTTTTAAATATATTAATGAGTTGCGCATCGTTGTTAGCATCATTAGAATTCGTGCATGCATTGATTATCTATACAGTCAAAACGCTCTTCAGGGGCGTTCCTGGGCATTTTTCAGCTTTAAGCCCGCTACCAGAATGTTGCTGATATACGCTTACCAATTTACACAGGTAGAGGACCAAGCTTTTACAGGCCGCAAAGTAACTTTAGTTGGACCTCTAAGTTACAATCAGTTTACGTAAATGTTGTATTTCCTTTCTTCTATTCAATATGAATAACGTAAATACAAAACTGTTCCAGAGTGGCAGTATCAAATGTAAGACCGAAGGGAGGTTTGCGTTCAGGTGTTCAGAATTCAAATGCCAATCTGCGGGGTTTCCTGGCGCAGAACACCTGCACCACCTTGTCTGTGTCGATGCGCGTGTCCCTGTACGCATGTAGATGGGCACCCGAGAGAGCCTCTCTGCGCACATAGTAGACATTGACACAAAGACAGTTACTAGAGCCAAGACTGGGGCCAGACTTGGCGTCGCCTGTCTGCCCGTGCGAGTCTTGCGACATCTTGCTACACTTCCAATGTAAAACTAGAGTGTAGGAGCGCAGCAGGGCTCTGTCGTGAAGAGCTGCATACCATCAATGATGCTTTCGGCAAACATTTGGAATATGAAAACACACAAAAAAATATTGACTTTTTTTCTTTCAATTTGGC